TGTCTGCGTGACACTGACAGTGTCTGCGTGACAGTGTCTGCGTGACAGTGTCTGCGTGGCAGTGTCTGCGTGACAGTGTCTGCGTGACACTGACAGTGTCTGCGTGGCAGTGTCTGCGTGGCAGTGTCTGCGTGGCAGTGTCTGCGTGACAGTGTCTGGGTGACAGTGTCTGCGTGGCAGTGTCTGCGTGGCAGTGTCTGCATGGCAGTGTCTGCGTGACACTGACAGCGTCTGCGTGACAGGAATCTACATCAGCCTTTTTTTAAATGCATTTTTAGACCAGGACCTTTTTGGGTTTGTTTTCTGCTCTCATTTCCTGTTGTCTCAAATACTTTAGTGGCTCTCTTACAGAAAGCTTGGCTGTGTTTTTTCCTGTTTTCCTGTATGTGGGAGCTTGTTGGCTTTTGTGTTGTTTGTTCTGATTTGTGCTTTCTGTCTGTCGTTGCGCTGTCGTGCTAGTTAGACTGACCGAGCCCCGACTCAGGGACAGTTTTCTGCTGTTCAGAACTGAAAGCCTTCACAGTGTTTATTGGTATTGCCCAATGGATTTGCTCCCCTGCCATGAGTCACACCTAAGTGATATCTTTGCTTATTCATAAGGTCTAATATCTGAATCTGTCATCCAAAAAGTGGCCCGTAGGGTGGAGGTTATTGAAGCGGGGATGGACCATCTCCACACTGTTTCCACAAAGTCAGAGCATGGAATTTCTTAAAAGTGTGAGGACACTTCACCTCTGGACATCCTGTCCCAGAACAGTCCTGAGTTCACTGAGCTCCTGACAGAGATCAGTTCTGCCACATGTTAGAAGAAACAGTCTGCGTGGCCATGGGGGGGGGCTGGAAGCCCTGGTTGGGATTATCTGGACAGGTGGGGTAGTTTTTTAGGCGATACAGTGTAGTATAAAACCTCTGAATCCAGACAATTTAAGGCAGGGATGTTAATAATGTGGTTGGGGAAAAATGGACGTGAAGACGGAGGAATTGTAAACGGCTTCCTCCTTTGAAACAATAATTGTGTACATTCTGCCCACAGAAAGCAGTAATCTGTGTTTGTGTGAGACCTGACTGCAGGAGCGGTGAAGCTAAGGGAGCAGGTCAGAAGAGGGCATCAGTTTCTTCCCTCTTCTTACCTGAACACTTCATCTGGACTACCTTTAGCATTCCTAATGTTTTGACAGAGTCTGTCACTGACTTATGTAGATGTTTTTCTCCACCAGAAACTGTCAGATATAGAATTAAACGATTGGGCATGGGAATGTAAATCCAAGCAGCCATGATCAGACACAAGCACAAGGTGATGACATCATCATCAGGAGCCAAAGAACTCTTGGTTGTGACCATGTATGAGGGGCCCCTGGAAGTGGCCATTACAAGCTGCTGTCTTTGTGCTTTGCAGCTGTGAAGACCTGTGTCCTCCAGGCAAGCATGGGCAGCAGTGTGAGGAGAGGTGCCCCTGCCAGAACGGAGGGGTGTGCCACCATGTGACTGGAGAGTGCTCCTGCCCCGCGGGCTGGATGGTATGAGGCCCCGACACCACACCTCACGTAGGGTTTCTCTGAGGGAGGCCCTGGGCTGGTCATGAGGAACCTGTGCTCAAAAGCTGGCAACAGCAGGACAGTGTTACCGAGCAGAACCAGTTAGCAAGCGATAGTTTGAACCAGTTAGCATGCGATGTTTTTAACCAGTTAGGATGCGATGGCTCAAAGCAGTTAGCGTGTAATGGCTTGAACCAGTTAGCATGCGATGGCTTGACATGTCTCCTGTAGATCTGATCTTCAGCTACTCTCCACAGCAAACATTAGCCGTTAGCCACACAGACAGGCTGGCTGTGGCCTTAGGTGTGTCTCTCTGTCCGTGTCCTCCTCAGGGCACGGTGTGCGGCCAGCCGTGTCCACAGGGCCGCTTTGGACAGAACTGTTCCCAGGAGTGTCAGTGCCACCACAAGGGCTTCTGCGTGAGCTCCTCTGGACAATGTGTCTGCAGCCCCGGATACACGGGAGACCGGTAAGAGCAGGAACACCCGCTGACCAACGGGGATGTTTTATTTTTGTGTTTTAGCTGAAGAATCAGTCAGTGTCTAGCTAACATTTTACAAAAGGTCAAACATGGAAAATATTTAAAAAAGAAAAAATATAAATGTAGTTCTTTTGAGAAACTGCTTATCAGTCAGGTGATTAATGGTCTGGTGGTGCATTCTGGGTAATTCTTAGGGCCAGGCTAATAGCTGGTTAACATGTTAACATGCTGGGAGGGAGGGGCCAGTCAGAGGGGCAGGCGAGAAACCAGTCCCAGGGTCTGGAACGGGTCTCGACCCCGGGTCCGAACATCAGGTCTGGACCACGGGTCTGGAACTGGGTTTGGATCCAGGTCTAAATCCAGGTCCAAACCTCAGGTCTGGAACCAGGTCTGAACCCCATATTCAAATCCAGGTCTGGAACCAGGTATAGACCCAGGTCCAGACCCTGGGC